TGGGATTACAGATGTGTGCCACTGCAACCAGCCTCAGTATTTTACATCTTCAAACTAACAGTTTACCTCCATAAATTCACCAATATGGATCAGTCCTGCTTAACCATCATATTTTGCAGAAGAGCATCATGGAAGTTGTTATGCTAGAAAACAGGAGTGGAAGCACCAACTTTAATCCCGTGTCTTAAGCAGCTATTTTTGAGATCATTCAGATGATTCAATGAGAAACAGAAGGTTCTGGATTTAGGGGCACAGTTTGGGTACCAGTCCAGGCTCTACTGATAAATGACCATGGATTCAAGGCAAGAAACAACTCTCTTTGTACCTTAGTTTTCCTATATTTATGTGATGAAATGGTGACAATAGTGCTGTCACTTAAATTGAGTGGTAAATATGAAAATAACTTAAAAAACTACAAGCAAACATTAGTTATCTTCCCCTGTATTTTGCCAGGTAAGTTTATTCATTCCACAAAAAAGCCACGGGGTTTTGGTCATCTCAAGTCCCATAAAATGGATTTTAGCTTGTAAAGCATAATATACTCAAGGTGTTGACAGATTGTACTAAAGATTGGTAATGCTTATGAATAGCTTGCCAGGTGCAAGCACTTGTTACAATAAACCTATGAAGTCAGGGACTGCTGTTTTCACTGCCTTACAACAAAACTGGAATTAGGTTAAGTAACAGACATCTGGAGAATATCAAAGCGTGTTTTTGAATGAAGTCTGACTCCAGAACTCTTCTTAACCACTAAGCCTTGTGCTCTTTATTCTGTACCAGTTACATTGGTAAAATATAGGTCTTAGTATCATTGCAGATTGTGTCATTAGGTCATTGCCCTGTTTGTTTTCCTTTGTGGTTCTCTTTGCTCTAGGTGCTGGCAGCCTTGCTCAGAAGGCCAAAGAAAGGAAACTGGTTGGACAGTTCCTGACTAAGGAATTTAGTGACAAATCCTCAAATGCTCCACCACTGAGCTACATCCTTAGCTCTTCTAGTTTTTAAGGTTGCTATGACTGCATAAATTAAATTTTTTTTTTAAATCTGGGGAGAGATTTAAATTAAAGAGGTAGAAACTAACTACAATCATTTTTGGTAAGTACTTTCCTTTGCCTGACTTGTTGAGAAAGACCTGAAGGTAATTTTTATTTTATTTTTTTAATTTTTTTCCAGCACTGGGGATTGAACCTGGGACCTTGCACATACTAGGCAAGCAAGTGCTCTACCACTGAACTACATCCCCCAGCCTTAAAGGTAAATTTTAAATCTCAACATAGTCTGTCCATTTTGGGGAGCAAAGACAATGAAAAGGCTGGATCACAGTGCAACAAATGTGCCTGAATGTACTACAGAACATAAAATATATGGTATTAATTGTGATGTTAATAGCGTTTTCTTTATGCACAGCAAGGCTGTAGGTATTACTTTGAAATGGGAAGAAAGGAACTTCTGTTTTGACTTTTTTAGGTGGTAGTAAGGTACAGTCACAAGAGGAGATAGGAGAGACAGAAAGCAAAACAAAAACAAAAAGGTTTAATCACAGGTCTGAAAGAGACAGTCACAGCACACCAAGCGGGTCACCTGGGAGACAGCACCGTCGGAGGGGAGGTGCTTTACCAAGCAGGTGGAAACAAAGAGGCCAAGACGAATGGGCAAGTACCTTGGGAGCAGGAATAAGTACACCAGAAAAGGTATGAGGGGATTTCAGTGTGTAAGTATTTCTAGTAATGGTCATGAAGAATAGGAAACAGGGATGCCTGTATCACACTGGTGCACCTGCTTTCCTGGTCCAGGTGCTCACAGCCTGTTTGTGGGAAGGTTGAGGCAGCAAGAAGTTTTAAAGCGTTCAATATAAATGCAAAAATGTACACTACAAAATCTTACCCATTAACACCAGCCCCACCTTTATTTCATCTTGCATTCACTCTTTGGCCGACGATTGATCTATTTACACCACTGAGTAAAGAACCATGTCTTGACTTGAAATGCCAAGGACAGGGTTGTGTGGCAGCTCAGTGACAAAGCACTTGCTTAGCATGCATGAGGCCCTGGATTCCAGTGCCAGCACTACACACACACACAAATACCATGGACAGTTTTTATTGAAGTCTGTAAGTCTTCTTTTAAATGGTATGTGAAAGCTAGAAGAATGTATTTTATGTTGGGCTTCTGGATATGATTCTAATAATTTTTCACCCCAACCTGTTTGGTAGGTTTTCTTTGCCATTTAAATTCCTTACTACTGTATCGCTTTCAGTACTTCTGAATTAGTGAAAATTGTAAAGTTTTAGTTCCTTCCTAATTTCTATGTTCCAAGATTGTGGGCTGCTTCATTGTTCAGAGGAAAGACTAGAGGGCCGTGCCAATACTATGGATGACAGAAATACCTGGATCGGTTCTGGCACCCTCTTTTTAAAAAATTCCTGCCTTCAGTAAATTAAGTTAAATATTATGGCTTATATTTCATTGGTTACTTCTAGGCTCAAAAGTTTGAGAATTTGTTACTAAAAGTATTTATACAGAGAACACACACTCTTTTGTTTCCCATACCTTAGACAACCCCCCTCAGTTTGAGGTAAATCAGTCTTAACAAGGTCATGAATTGCTGTGGTTTTATTGTCATTCTGAATTCTCTTTTCATTCTTATCAATTTCATTTGTGAAACCCTGGGGTGAAACCCATGTTTTAAAATAGGGAAACAAAAATTGGATTGTATCGAACATTTCAGGAAACAAACTTTTTTGTTTTATGCCACCTTGCAATCTTTATTAAAAGAGGCTCAGAAAAATAGAGCGCATTTAAATTTCCTTTGTTCTATTCCTCGAAGAAGTTTACATTTCTAGATGATCTATAAAGACAATTATGTGAAATAAGTATCCATAGTTGAAATACAAAAACTTCTTTTTCAGTGTGCAGATACTAGAACCTATTTTGTCTAAATAGTATGTTTCTAATCTTTTTTAGAGCTATGTTCTGCAATTAAAAGAAAGATTTAAAAAAAAAAATACAAAGTTCCAATGATATGTGATCTTATGCCTTGGTATTCCTGCCTCTCCTATAAACTGTTAAAAAGAGTTAAATTTTAGTTCTGCTGGGGGGCTTTTCTAAGCTTCAATGCATTATCATCTGGTAGAAAGCAGAAGATAGGTTTTTCCCTCACTTAATATAAAAGGTATCGCTTTTGAAAGAGCTAGTCTTGCTCTACCCTAGGTTTAGGATTGATTCATTCTTATTTGAATGAATCTTCTAGATTAAATTTGCTGAGGCAGTTAGTGTTGCTTCTGGGTTAAATGGCAAACTACATGCTCTGTTGAAAAAGGAAACAGCTGAACAACAGAAACCCTTTGACGTTTCAATGTGGGGTCACATTTGCTCTTGGAAAATTGAGGTTGTTATCCCTTCACATGAACTGTGTGGGATTTAAGCTCCTGGTTTGTAGAGACCACTGGTTTTCCAACTCATTGAAGTATCTTTGTTTATACCAGGTGATGGGGACTGCTTTCCATGAATGTGAGAGACATGTACTACTAATACTTGCACACCAATGTGTTAGGCTACTACTGCTGAGTAAGATGGCACAAACCTAAGACAATAAAAATTAGCATTTTTTTGAGGCAATCAAAGTTGAAAGTTAGTCACCATGAGTCACTGTGGGCATAGAATTTAGATTGTGATTTATAATCATTATCTTGGTGATTAAATCTTGGCAAAATAATGACTTCTGCATTCTGAAAATTTTCACTGACTAAAAAGGAAGAATTAAAAAAATGCTTCTGTAGAGATAATAAAGCTCATTAAAAACAGATAAATATAGGAAAAATGTGAAAAGATACTAGGAAAGATTTCATACTTTTTTCCTGAGTCCATGTTTCTGGCCCTCGGATAAGGTTTTTCTGGCCTGTGCAGTTGTTGGCCATAGTAGAGGTTTTCTAGAGAGCTCCTGGGCATTTAACTTTGTACGTAGGCCAGACTGCTGTGGATGGGAGGTGGGCTGCATTTTACCTACTCCAGTCCATTCCTTAAAAATGTTTACCATATACAATGACTTAGACATTACCAGCAGCTTTCTTCTAAATAAGCCTGTTTAGAATGAGAAGCACATGAAAGCTACTGTGAACAATTTAATGAAAAATGTCTTCTTATGGTGTTGCAATGCATTGGTTGGCAAAAATAAAACAGTTGGAAAATTGCCTCAAAACTAAAGGGCAGGGGGGAAAAAAAGGAAATTGAGCGATGTGTGTACAGTAGCTATATTTTCACCAGCTTTCACTAACTTCCATTAAATAGCTTTACCTCCAGAACTTAGGTTCTAAAACTAAGTAATAGTTTTTGCTTAATAGTCAAATAGAGCCTCAGATGATGTCTCCCACAGAAAGGGAGCAGTGCAAAAATAGGACACTCCTCTATTGATCATGTAGAGTTTTCTGTGTCTCTGCCAGAAAATATTCTGGGTTGAATTGTGTTAAGAAATATGGGGTAACTATTGCAAAATGTGTATAAGGATAAGGTGTTTAAAATTGAAGTTTTTAAGTAATTTCAGGAATACCATTGCCAGTTTGTTAGCGAATCTTGTTTTCTTTTCAGGAAGAAAATGAATACTGCATATTACTCTATAGCAATATGTGAAAAATCAGGCCTAAAGATATTTGTACAATGTCTTGAATCTTGCTGCATATTCTTGTGGTTTATGAAATGGGTAGATTTTTTTTTCATTTCTACAGAGGATAAGCTTGACAAATTAATCATCTTGCTACTTCCCCCATGAAAATTTAATAAATGAATTAGGGGTGTCCATGATTTTGTATAAATGAAAGGTAACTTTACATTTTAGCCTCCAGATGGAGAAAAACAAGTACAAGTTTCTCTGATTTCTTTAAAGCAAATTGAGTTCTCAAAGCTTACTCTACCTTTCTAATCAAAGACAAAGCTGGTCTGGTGCTATTTTCCACAACAGAAATCCCCTCCCTGTTTTATTTAAAAACCAACCCCAAACCACAACCCAATTTACATGCTGTCCTTTATTCACATATAGAATTCTCATAGCCAGCAGGGCAACTTAAAAACACTTTCAAGAGGAATAATCCCAAGTCCTTTTTGGCAGAATTACCCTGTCATTTTGACATAGATTTTGTTATCTAAAAATTGCAGACTCAGTGGTTTCTAAAATTTTCCACATAGTATCAACCTCTGCAAATCCAAGATACTACAGATATACTTAATCTATTCAAATGTGGACCTTACCATCTGTCTAAAGTCAGCTGACAGGTGTTATATTCACCAACACCATGCTTTTGTGTGTGGATTGCAATATAAACCTTTTCACAAAAGCAATATGTTGCAAAATTGATGTCACAAGACCCCCAAAATGACATTATAATTTCAGTCAAGCATTAAGAAGTTCATCATCTGAGTGTCCAATGGCATCTGGATTTGAAAGTGGATCCAAGTCTGCAAATAGATTGAACCAGGCTGACATGTCTTGGTTACCACTGTTGGGGGCTATTAAAAAAGAAAAAAGGAAACACATCAAAGAGTTTCAACTTTTTGAAGTCATATTTTTGTCCCACCTTTATAATTATTTAAATTATAATGAAGTAGATTATTCTTTTAAATAAAAAATTAAACTGACCATAATAATCAATTATATTTCCTTTAGGATAAATTAGCAAAGATAATGCAGATACTTTATGCTTTACTGATTCTACTAAAATTGAGTAATTGCATACTGCCCTGTGAAAAGACTTGAGAAGAGTAAAATGGCAAGCAATAATTACTACAGTCATTTTAGAAACATTTAATTTTAAGATAATTTATAGAAGGCTCTAATTTATTTATTTTTATGTGGTGCTGAGGATTGAATCCAGGGCTTTGCACGTGCTAGGCAAGCGCTGAGTCACAACCCCAGCCCCTAGGATAAGGTAACGTTCTTTTCACAGGACAACAGAGGAACAATTTGAGCACCAAAATGATTACATAATGACTAGGAAACATTGAAAAACCATGAATCTATACTGATAATAAATGGGAAAGAAGAGAGGTCTCTTGTTTATAGCAGAGTAGTGAGAACCAATGAAGGAAATAAATTGTATCAAAAGACTTGAAAATTCGATCTATAAATGAATAGATTACCAAATAGGGTGTACCCACTCAATGGAATGTTCTTCAGCCTTGCAAGCCTGTCCTACATGTGCTACAGGATGAATGAAACTTGAGGGCATTATACCAAATGAAATACCTGGTCACCAAAAAGCAGATTGTATTATTCCACTTGTATGAAGTATCTAAAGTGATCAAACTTACAGAAAGTAGAATGGTGGTTCCCAGGGGCTCAAGGAAGAGGAAACGGGGAGTGTTGCTGCGTGGGTACAGAGTTTCAGATTAACGTGATGAGAAAGTTCTGAAGACTTGTATTCATACTCATGTGGACATAAATTATGGAACTAGTAGTGTTAAAACTGGTTGGGAGGGGCTGGGTTTATGGAACAGCGGTAGAGCGCTCGCCTAGCATGTGCTAGGTGCCGGTGCGAGCCTCAGCACCACATAAAAATAAATAAATAAAATAAAGGTATTGTGTCCAACTACTACTAAAAAACACATATATTTTTAAAAGATATTTATTTTTTAGTTGGACACAATACCTTTATTTCACTCATTTATTTTTTACGTGGTGCTGAGGATCGAACCTAGGGTCCCGCACATGCAAGACGAGTGCTCTACCGCTGAGCCACAACCCCAGCCCCCAAAAACACATATATTTTTAAAAAATGGTTGGGGATGGGTACAGCACAATGGTAGAACCCATGCTTTGGATGACTGAGGCCCTAGGTTCAGTCCCCGGCAATACAAACACCCCTAATTAAGATGGTAATCATCTTAAGTGCTTGAATACATTCTTTGCCAGTAGGCATCCTATAATCAAAAAGCATCTTCTGGGATGGGGGTGTAGTGCACAGCAGAGTGCTCCTCTAGTGTGTGTGAGGACCCAGCACAGCCAAAAACAAAAACAGAAAACACATCTTTTGGGCTGGAGATATAGCTCAGTTTGTAGAGTGGTTGCCTCACATGCACAAGGCCATGGGTTCAATCCCTAGCACCACACACACAAAACAAAACACATCTTTTATTCCTAATGGTATATCAACTGCCAAGGAACCTGAAAACAAAATATAACAGATTACAGTTCAAAAGTTAGTATACTATGACAAGTTCACAATTTCTAGTCTGTGCTTTCAATGTGAAGGATAGCTTTCATTTTAATACTAACTCATTATTGACAAAATATTTTTCTGAACAATGTGAGGCAAAGACTATAAAAGTGATCCTTTCTAAGTTTATCCAAATTCAACTGTAATGCAGTGGGGAAAAATAAAGAACTTACATCTCATTAATTTCTTTGGACTCTGTGAAGGCACTGGCAGGTTATCAGTATGTTCTGATCCTTCTTGGGAGACCCAGCCTAGGGGGAGGGAAGTAAGAATTATCTACTGCTAGCCAAGTAGGAAGTAATATCAGAAAAACAAGAAAAGGTAAAAAAAAAAAAAAAAAAAAAAAAAAAAAAAAATCTTCCAGTCTTTGTACCAGAATAAGATTCTGTAGTCTAAGAGTTTTTTAAAAAAAAATAAAACTAAAAATTTATCTACAATTGTATATTTTATTCAATCATTCAAGTTTAGTCCCAGAGAGAATTGTTAGACATCCTTATATTTTCAAAGTGGTTTGAAATAAATATGTAGGTTTTGGGGTGGAGGAATGAAAATGAAGAAGGTACAGAAAGATGTTCAAAGCAATTGGGAAGAGAGGGCCTGAGAATTAGAATGTTGAAACCTATAATATAGTTATACCCTTGGATTTACTAATTCCATTCCTAGAAATTTGTCTTAAGGAAATAAGATAAATTTTCCCTTTTAAACTAGGGAAAAAGTGCATGCATGGATATGTTTATTACAGCATTATCTGTAATAGTGAACAAACAGAAACAATAAGGAAAAAATTCATCCAGATTATGGCACATAAAGTAACAAAGCACTATGTAATTTAAAATTATCATTATGGAAACTCCATAGAGCACAGGGAAATGTTTGCTACAACATGGAAAAATATTTATGCTTTAATTGAAACGCAGCAAAAAAAGAATTTAGATTATCCTACCTAGTCCTTCCTTGTGTAAAAGAGATCATCTGAGGCTCGAGTAAGATGTTTTGATTTGAATGTCCCCTCCAAAACTCATGTTGAAATGTAATTGCTATGGTGATAGTATTAGGATGTGGGACCTTTAAAAGATGGCTAGGTTGTAAAGACTCTGCCCTTTTTTTAAAAATTCTAATTTGTCAATATATGACAGAATGCATTACAATTCATATTACACATATAAAGCACAATTTTCCATATTTCTGGTTGTATACAAAGTATATTCACACCATTCGTGTCATCATACATGTACTTAGGGTAATGATGTCCATCTCATTCCACCATCATTTCTACTCCCATGCCCCTTCCCTTCCCCTCCCAACCCTTTACCCTATCTAGAGTTCATCTAATCTTTCCATGTTCTCCCTCCCAACCCCACTATGAATCAGCCTCCTTATATCAGAGAAAACATTTCATCATTTGGTTTTTGGGATTGGCTAACTTCACTTAGCATTATCTTCTCCAACTCTATCCATTTACCTGCAAATGCCATGATTTTATTCTTTGTTATTGCTGAGTAATATTCCATTGTGTATATATACCACCTTTTCTTTATCCATTCATCTACTGAAGGGCATCTAGGTTGGTTCCATAGTTTAACTATTGTGAATGGTGCTATAATAAACATTGATGTGGCTGTGTCCCTGTAGTATGCTGTTTTTAAGTCCTTTGCGTATAGACTGAGGAGAGGAATAGTTGGGTCAAAAGGTGGTTCCATTCCCAGTTTTCCAAGGAATCTCCATACTGCTTTCCATAGTGGCTGTACTGTTTTGCATCCCACCAGCAATGTATGAGTGTATCTTTTCCCCACATCCTCACCAACACTTATTGTTGTTTGTATTCTTAATAGCTGCCATTCTGACTGGAGTAAAATGAAATCTTAGAGTAGTTTTGATTTGCATTTCTCTAATTGCTAGAGATGTTGAACATTTTTTCATGTATTTGTTGATTGATTGTATATCACCTTCTGAGAAATGTCTGTTCAGTTCCTTGGCCCATTTATTGATTGGGTTATTTGTTTTTTTTGTTGTTGTTGTTTTTTGGTGTTGAGCTCTTTGAGTTTTTTATATACCTTAGAGACTAGTGCTCTATCTGATGTGCAAGTGGTAAAAATTTGCTCCCAAGCTGTAGGCTCTCTATTCACCTCATTGATGGTTTCTTTTGCTGAGAAGCATTTTAGTTTGAATTCATCCCATTTATTAATTCTTGATTTTAATTCTTATGCTATAGGACACAATACCTTTATTTTATTTATTTGTTTGTTTGTTTATTTATATGTGGTGCTGAGGATCGAACCAGTGCCTCGCACATGCTAGGCAAGCTCTTTATCATTGAGCCGAAACCCCAACCCCAAGGCTCTGCTCTTATGGTGGGAGTGGGTTAATTGTCACAGGAGAAAGCTCCTGACAAAAAAGGTAAGTTTGGCCCCCACCTTCCCTTTGCCTTGAATGCTTCTTACCATGCCACCTTCTGCCATGGCCTGATGTACCAGATACTGACATTGGCTCTTACCAGCCTAAGCAATTTAGCAAGACCCTGTGTCAAAAATAAAAACTAGGCTAGACGGACGCAGTGACACACTCCTGTAATCCCTGCAGTTCGGGAGGCTGAGGCTGAGGATTGCGAGTTCAAAGCCAGCCTCATCAACTAAGCAAGACCCTGTCTATAAATAAATAAATAAATAGGGCTAGGGATGTGGTTCAGTGGTTATGTGGCCTGAGTTAATCCTCAGTACCAAAAAAAAAGTGAATATGCATTACAGAAAGGTTTTATCCTCAAGCCAGTGGTGCTTCATTTTTAGAAAATCTAAAGCAGGCTACTGACATTGGAATTTGCTTCTTGGGAAATAACTAGTGGAACTGGAAGATTAGGAGCTCTCTTGAAGCAAGCTGGGAAACCAAATGAGTCTCTAAATAGCTCTGGTCATGGAGTAGAGAGGAAGCGTGGAAAATTTGAAAAATGTTTGAGAACAAAATGAGTAGGACCTGGTAATCAGTAAGGATGTGGGAGCAAAATGACTCCCAAGGTGCAGAGATGGACACCAGACAGTGGTGCTGCAGGTGAGCAGCAGGAGCCCTTGTGACAAAGCAGGTGATCCTTTCTTCAGGTAGATCTGTACCCTCAGCCTGCTCCAGCATCCTCCACCCCTGCTGCCTTGCCCAGAAGGCTGCCCTGCAGTCAGCCACCAGAGCTTTTTTAAAATTTCTTGCCAACTTTGAACCCACAGGAAGAAAACACACCAAATCTTACTTGATGAAAAAAAGTCCCGGGGTAATTTAGTAGGCCAAATATTATAAATCAGATACCTGGGAAAATTGATGAAGACATGTGGGTTTGGTGGAGGTGGCAAAAAAAAAAAACAGCCTTTCTTTTCAGTCTTGTTGACGGATTCCAGTGGTGACTCTATTTGATATAGTTCCATTTGACCAGAGTGACTGCAGATTTTATCTAGTAGCACTGAAGTTAAAATCCATCTCCTTGTTCATTCTAGCATCAAGTACATAATTTTGCTTCACAAAGATAAAATAAGGCACATGTATCAAAATGTTTCATAGATACTCACTGTTGAAAGCTCCAGCAGCATGAAAGCCAAGATCAAAGAGCTGTGAAGGAAGGAATCGAGAGGAATGAGCGAGAGGCTCAGACCCCACAGAAGGCTCCTGGGACATGAGACCGGCACTGGGGCTCCCATAGGAAGTCTGGCATTCTTGGGTGGATTCACTAGTACTTGAAGAACCAGGACTTAGGAGATTGTTCAGAAATGAGAATTCCTTCTCAAAATCTTCTCCTTCCAATGAATCAACAGGTAAATCTTTCACAACCACTGATTGAAAATAGAAACAGAAAGCCTTTTTTTTTCCAGTTTAAAGAAATGACAGTAGGACATACAAGAACAACGAAACAAGTTTATCCTATTTTATTAACAATTTTCTAATCAATTTCATCATTAGTTTATGGGACGGTTGGGGGCAGGATTTAGATCAAAAAGGTTACATTTTTACAGTGAAGATATAACACAAATATCTACATATAAAATAAGCTATCACCTATGATAGACAAAAATGATGAGAAGAGATACAAGGAGATAGTAACAAATCAATAGAAGATTTTAATATGCCACACTCAGTAAAACACAGCTAAGAAGGACAAAAGATGAGTAAAGATATAGAAAACCCAGACAGCATAATCAATAAGGGGGTTATTTTGGATGTACACAAACCCTGAGACTAGAAACAAACCTTCTCAAGCACACATTGAAAATGCACAAAGCTAGGTATAGTGCCCCATGCCTGTAATTCCAGTGGCTCAGGAGACTGAGGCAGGAGGATCAAGAGTTCAAAGCCAGGGGATGGGGTTGTAGCTCAGTGGTAGAGCGCTTGCCTTGCACTTGTGAGACTCTGGGTTCAATCCTCAGAAACACATAAAAATTAACAAAATAAAGGCATGCTGTCCATCTACAACTTAAAAAAAAGAGTTCAAAGCTAGCCCTACTTTGCAGGGACCCTAAGCAACCTGGCAAGAACCTGTCTCTAAATAAAATACAAAAAAGGGCTAGGGATATGGCCCCTGGGTTCAATTCCCAGTAACCCCCCCAAAAAAAATCACAAAAAATGATCAACTTAAAAATCAGTTCTTAAAGTAGAGATATTATAAACAACAGGCTTTGATTATAGTGTAATAAAACGAAATAATTTTAAAATGAAACTAAAAAAGGGCTATAAAACTAAAAGTCTATGAAACACTCTTGGTTGAAAGGGGAACAGACTTTCTGAAATACAGTGAAAAAGTATTTCCTATCATAATCCATGAGACACATAAAGAGCAATGAACAGAGGAAAGGTAGCCCTTAAATGCTTATCAATAAAAATGAAAGCAAGGGGTTTCCATCATGACAGAATAAGAAGCTCAACCAGCCTACACCTCGGTGTAACTGGTGAAAGTTGGTTTGTTTGTTTTGTTTAATTTAATTCTCTAATATTTTGAGACAGTGTCTCACTAAGTTGCTTAGTGCCTTGCTAAATTGCTGAGGCTGACCTCAAACTCAGGATACTCCCACCTCAGCCTCCCAAGTTACTAAGATTACAGGCATGCATCACCATGTCCAGCTTACGGGGTGTTTGTTTGTTTGTTTGTTTTAAAGAGAGAATGAGAGAGAATTTTTTTTAATATTTATTTTTTAGGATCTGAACCCAGGATTGAACCCAGGCCACACGCATGCCAGGCAAGTGCGCTACCACTTGAGCCACATCCCCAGCCCTGTTTGTTTTTTAAGCATTTAAAGTCTCTGGAAATTGTCCCAAGGACATAAAAAATATGAAAACATTTGACTCAATGTTTTAGTCAATGTTCTAGTGTACTAGAATTCAAGAGGAACAGGGAGACTCTGGTGTTTGAACTGAGAACCATTCCCTTCCTATTCCTCCCAACTTGGCCAGATGGAAATTCCACTCCAGTTTGGTATAGCCCAAAACACAGGGTTCCCTCTCCCTCAGTGCTCAGTTAAAGGATACCTTCCAGGAGGGGTAAAATGCCAGCTTTTCACAGGTTGCTCCCAGTTGCCTGTTGTCAAACCTGTCCCATGACTGTAGTCAAGAGTGGAGACTCCCATCTCCCAACCAGACCCACATGTCAGATGGAGACTCTGGAGTTAGGCATGGCAAGCTAAGGATGCTAGGGCCCTGAGCACTTGGTCCTGTGTGTAAAGTTGTAGTTTCATGAAGCCAAAAAGACCTCAGACTCCTGTCATCTCTCTTCATCTAGCATTCAACTTGTACAGCAGGTTTATCACAGAGAAGCATGCCATTGTCCCCACTCCTAGCTCAGTCCCTCACTCAGAGATTTTCATTAGGGGAGAGAAGCAGACCACAAAAAAGATAGCTCCTAACCTCTTCACAAAAGAACTAACTTTATTCTCAACAAAGTATGGAAATGTTCAAGCCAAAGAATGCTCTAGATAACGAAGGCTGTGAAAAGCAACTGGTGGTTGCATTGGACATTCAGGCTAAACTGTAGGCCAGTTAGTTTGCCTGAAAAAGCCAGCTAACATCAGAACAAATTTCAAACATTGACCTTGAGAACAAGTCCATATTTGATTGTTTTAATCTGTGGAACAATTTATGCTCAAGGGTATTTTTTAAATTAATAGAGCAATCAGCTATAAATGACAGCTGGGTATAGTCAGAGAGAGACTGTCAGAGAACTCTACTGAAACTGTCATCACAGGGCCCAACCTAAACCTTATAATGTGTCCCACTAGTGGGGGTGGGGAAAGAGGAAGATGAAGAATAGATTCCAATAAAAGAATTCAACCTCTTGGCAAATGAACAAGCAAATAAGTTTCAGAGGGAGAGTACCAATACCCAAAGTTACTTAAATATATTATTTAAAATGTCTGTTTTCCAACAAAAAGATGTGAGTCATGTACAGAAATTGGAAAGTATGATGCCTAAATCAGCAAGAAGGCAGGCCACAGAAGCTGCAGGTGAGACTGACTAGGTGTTAGATTTAAAGACAAAGACTTCAGAGTCACACTTATATGCAGAGAAATAAAGGAATCCATGATTAAAGAAATAAAGGAAATGGATTGGGAACAAGATGGTGGCTGTCTGCTCAACTTGAACGACTGTTTATGAATAATCACCATCACAAGAGCTAAGAAAGAGCCAGATGGGAAACCACAATGCCTGGTTGTATTATGACAATAAGAAAAGGGCAGGAAAGAGTTTCTCATGTCATCCCTGTCCCAACTCCATTAAGCACACACAGGGGAGATGCCCCCAGCTTGGTGGGGTAGAGAAAATTTTAGTGCAGGCCTCTGATTACCAGGTCTGCTGTGCCAGACAGGATCCCAGAGTTCCTGCCCTAAGACCAGTATCTGCAGATTGATCCTTTGGATCCTCCTTAGTCAGATGTCCAAAAGGACTGCCTCCATCAACTCTTTGCCACCCTCAGACATAAGAGCAAGAAGCAAAGCTCCAGCCACCAGGGCACAGGGCAGGAAAGTGAGCATAGGACTTTGCCTCAATGCCAGGCTCCTCTTTAGGCTAATGCTCACAGACGAGTCTCTAGACCTACACCTGCATCAGGTAGAGACCTGACTCTGGTAGGACAGACATATTTATCTTTTACCCCACGTCACTGGCAATCACACATGGGACTGGCACCCAAACTTAAGACTGTGTAAGTCCCTATGGCTGTGCAACTTGGGTATTATGTGGCTTAGTGTCATTCAGATGGCCATGGGGCTGCCTCTGCCACCCCTCCCAACTTTGGGCACACAGCAAGGAACAAGAGGCCAGCCACTATGGAGTAGATCAGCAAAATGACACAGAACTGTATTTTGGAACTTAGTTGCTGAGCTAGTAAAACCCAACATTGGGGAAGATCCTAATGGTCTCTGTCTTCAAGCCAGTGCCTATGGATGAAGCCTGTGAACCTGACCTATTGCCAAATAAAGACACTTGGCCACTGGTGATCAGATTTATATACCATCCAGAATCAACCTGGGGCTAGCTGCAGCAGTCTTGGGCTGTAAGTTCACTATAGCAGGAAGCCCATAGCAGCCTACATCTTACTGTGCTGGTTTCAGCAGACAGTGGGCTCCAAATATGATCTAGCATTGCAACATTGGTGACCACATGCACAGAATAACTGTCTGGGACAAGAAAAAGGAGGAAAGCACCAAGTCACTCCCTAAAAGCCTGGGACTTGCTCAGTGAGGTTCAGAGCCAGACAGAGTCCTGTGGTGTCTTCCAACAGACCAGTGAATATGATTGAAGTGTCTGGGCCTATCCCAGGCCCAGGCAGAGGTTTGTGAGAAAAGAACACTTTATAGATACTCCCCAACCACGGACTTGGGACAAACTGGGTTTGGGGCAACCATCAGTGCTACAACAGAAAAACACCAATAAGAGACTTTTAACAAACTTAAGATACTGGGCACCATCTAGAGCTGAAGTAGTGGAAATGTCCACAGGTTCAAAGATTACTACAATGCTTAGAAATTCTGGAGGGACAGACACAAAGCTAGATTATGAAGACTGGAATATCCAAGGCAATGTGCACCAAATGTTGTATGTCAACAATCATCAAGAACTTCAGGGAACACTGACTGCACCTGATGAACAAAATAAGGCACCAGGAAGGGATTACAGCAATTGATATTTGAAAACTCTTGGACAGATAATTAAAAATAACTTTTAAAGAATTTCAACGAGGGGCTAGGGTTGTAGTTCAAGTGTGGAGTGCTTGCCTCATGCATGACATGTGAGGCACTGGGTTTGATCTTTAGCACTACATAAAAATAAATAAATAAAGGTATTATATACATCTACAAGTAAAAATATTTTTTTAAAAAAGAATCAACAACAGGCAGGGGATATAGCTCAGTTGGTAGACTGTTTGCCTCACATGCACAAGGCCCTGGGTTCATTCAATCCCCAACACCACCAAAAAAAAAAAAAAAAAAAAAAGAGCTTCAAGAAAACACAGAAATGATTCAATACTTTTTTTTTTTAACCAAGGATTGAATCCAGGGATGTTTAACCACTGAATCACATCCTGGCCCTTTTTATATTTTATTTAGAGTCGGGGTCTCACTGAGTTGCTTAGAGCCTCAAATTGCTGAGGCTGACTTTGAACTCGTGATCCTCCTATGCGCCAAGGTGCCTGGCATGATTCAATAGTGTTAAAGAAATTTAACAGATTGATGTAAATTTTTTGTGGGGGGGTACCAAGGATTAAACTCGGGACACTCAACCACTGAGCCACATCCCCAGCCCTATTTTGTATTTTGTGTAGAGGCAGGGTCTCACGAGTTGCTTA